GTTGGGCATAGAGATTACTTTAAAAAAAAAAAAAAAATGCTCACAGTTATTTCTGTCCTACCCCTTTGAGGTCTCTCCATCACCTCCATCAGCCTTCCTGGAGAGTAGAGGCTACAGGCATACACCTTCACATGTGGCAGAAATAGCAGAATAAGTTACCTCTTTAATGAGCTGAGCGTCTTCAAGAGCTTCATTGCTCCTTGTAACAGAACTTGATCTTGCAAAACCAGGGATTCCTCTGTCTGTGAGGTCTGGCGGTCCTGCTGAAGAAGCTTTTCCAGACCACAGCTAGAGTGGCACGACAGTTCTTTGAGGGAGGCAGGCCGGGAAGCTTCCAGGAATAGTAAGTGAGTCAGAGGCAAGGGGTTTGGAAAGCAGAAGAATGGAGACGTGCTGGGCAAGAGTGGAACTGGAGTCAGTCTCCTGAAAGCAGTCGGTAAGGAGGAAATGGTTCTGAGAGTCTTGTCGGCTTCTCCCCTTCTCTGCGCACTGCAGGTGAGCCAGAGGGGAGCACCGACCATGGCCGCCTTCCTCTGTGTTTGTTACCAGCCCTTCCGTGGCCGTGGGTACATCAGACCCATGTCCTTCCTCCCATCTTGCTGCCACATGGCATTTCCAAAGCCAGCTCTTTCCCATCTCACGGTGTTCGTTGGCAAGCAGTTGCCCTAAGCTCTGACTTTCCTTTTCCTTGTAAAAGTTTCCCTGTGATTGCACTTGTCTCTAAGAGTCAGCCTCTTGGGGAAGGGTTTTGTCTTGGAGCCTGAAAAGGGCCCCCAATACTATGACTCGGTTGAACCATCTCAGGTTATTGCAGCAAAGCACCTGCAGTGTTCCGGGCACTGTTAGGTGCTGGGGCTACAACACTGCGTAAGCCACAGCCCCTCCGGGAGCACAGAGTGCAGGTCCCTACCCCATGGCTCCCGTCAACCTCGAGATCGTCGTGTTGGCTACCTTTGAGGAATAAGGACGAAAAATCAAAACACGCATCGTGTGTGTTCAGTGTAGACGCTTTCCAGGTCTCCGTCGCTTGTGTTTCTAAGCATTAGGGAGATGACACTGAGTGTGTGTCTCATGCCCCTTCCCATTTCTCCTCAGGGTGGCCTTTCAGCAGCCCCTGCCCGGGCCGTGTCTGCTGTGAAAAACATCAATCTGCCGGAGATTCCTCGGAACATCAACATTGGTGATCTCAACATCAAAGTCCCCAACCTGTCCCAGTTTGTCTGAGGGCCCACGGCTACTGAACTGCAATCCTTGAAACAAGCCAAGCCAGTCCTGCCACAGACCCCACTCTGAGACTTAGAAGGGTCAGGCCCTGGGCCCTGCCCCCTGTTGCCGTGGAGTCGGGGGTGGGGGGGGTGTCCCGGGTTCACGGCTAGCGCCTACCGGCCTCTAATACATGTGGCCACTGCAGATGGGGGGGGCCCCCCGGCTTGCTCCGTGGGGGTCCACGTGCCCGAGCCACTCGTACCTTTACCTCCCTCATGTAGCCACTCCCAGGGACTGGGCACTGTCCGGGGGTCCACCTGCTTCCTAGAACCCACCCCTAGGACATTCTCTGCCTAGAGTCTGCATCCTTAGCACCGCCATGCTTCTGAGGTCCTATAGCATTCACTCTTGCTAACGAGGTGCCATAGCTAGAACAGGGCCGACCCTTCAGATTAGGGTATGTGGCGAGTGGCAAACAAGGGCAGAGTTTGATGAGAACCAGAGTTGCCTCCTGGCTCTACTAGGGTTGTCATGCCCAGAGTCCTTTCGTCTAGGCAAGTTTTCTGGTTCCCACCACCTACGGAATATGTTTCCCTCACTGTCATAGTCCTAGCTCTGTTTGCACAGGACTTGATCCAGATCCTGAACCTGATACGTGCTGGTAGGGAGAGCACCCCCTTCCCCACGGCTGTTTCTCCACCTCAGCTACAAGGTCCCTTATCAAAGGGGAGAAGCCCTGCGTCTGTGGAGGGCAAAGCTGACCTGTGGAATATCTCAGAATTATGACTCTTTCCAGGTTTAAATACATTCTTCTCATGAGGAGCAGATGGGTCAGTTGCTGTGTTATAAATGATGAGTTTTCTCCATACAGGAAAGCCACTGCCATCTACACCCGCTTGTGGAGCAGGAGAGCCTAAGCTGGGATCACTTGTTCTAGAACTGGCACTGGGTAGGCTGGGGACACGGGAAGCATGCTGGCCAAGACCGGTGGCAGCGCCGTGTCTTCTCCCTAGCGTGAGAGCAGTCCCTCCCTGAGCTCTGCTTCTGGGTCCACGCTGTTCCCCACCAGGTGGCTGGCTTTGGAAAGCTGTGGGTTTTTACATGTGATGAGAAGCGTCCTTCTGTGAGTAACTTCGAGCTCAGACTGCGCCTTAGAGTGGTGCCTCGTCCAGCACCGCCTCGGCTGCCGGTCTCAGGGCCTTGGGGAGCTCAGCGCACCGTCACAGCAGTCTCCCAGCTCGGGGCTTTCTCGTGCCTGCTGGCCGGGGGCCCAGGCTCTTCGCCCAAGCCTGCTGCCGCTGCAGAGCCCGTTTGAGACGGCGCCCGCGGGACCACCGTGCTTCTGTGCTTGGTGCCCAGTGCTCCCTGCGGCCTCTTGTCCTCACTCTTTCAGGCCCTCCCTGGTAGCCTCGGAGGCGAGTGTGCTGATCAGAAGGTAGGCTCTCTTCCGTTGGAAGAGAGAGATGGAGGTCACTCTATCTGATGTCACCGCTGATAGCATTCTTTGAAGGGTTTAATTTTTTTTTAACAGACATTTCAGGGCATTCACATCCCTCTCGCACATTTGCTAAATGTGGAATAAGAAAGAAGGAAGAAGACTGATGTTCACTTTGCACGTACTGGAAGGCAGTGTGAGCAGGATCCTTCCACAGCCCTTATAACAGATGTTATTGTCTTCATTTTGCAGGTGAAGAAAATAAGACTCAGAGAGGTCAAGTCACCTGCTTTTGGTTACACAGGGCTAAGAATTGAGACTCTGCTTGCCTAAATCCAAAGTCCGTTTTCTTTCACTGCTCAATGGCTTCTCCCAATTTTATCCTCTTTGTTATAGGTAAGGAAACCGAGTCCGAGGGAGGTTATAGTAGCTTCTTACAAACCCTGATCAAACCAAGCCAGTTTGCTCACGGGACCAGTGACGGTGTCGTAGAGGGTGAGAGCTGGAGGCCCCCTGTGCTGGCCTGATGAGGGGACAGCAGCCCAGAGTGTTAGGTGTTGTATTGAGAGTCACAAAGCTAGAGCCTAGTCACTTTTCTTGAGTTTATTTCTTTGTTTTGTGGTTTCATGTATTACTTCAGGACAGCCGGGTGCCCTGCATTGCCCGGGACAACCTTCCAGTGTTCTTAGCTGCCAGAGACCGTTGCTTTCTGCCCTGTTCCCACAAACCACTGACTGGTCCCGTAGACCCCCAGCAAGTCAGCATCCCAATCACATCCCTCAAACTGCCTCTAAAAGTGGCCTAAAACTTCAGCCTGCTTTGCTTTTTTTTTTTTTAAGATTTTATTTATTTATTTGACAGAGAGAGAGACAGGGAACACAAGCAGGGGGAGCGGGAGAGGGAGAAGCAGGCCCTCCAACAAGCGGGGAGCCTGATGCGGGGCTCGATCCCAGGACCCTGAGATCATGACCTGAGCTGAAGGCAGACGCTTAACAACTGAGCCACCCAGGCGCCCCCAGCCTGCTTTTTTATTTGGAAAACTCCATCTCTTTGGACAAACCACAATAATTGTTCATTAACTACTTGAGGTTGCCTGCAAATCCAGCTAGATCTCTTGTCTGCTACCAGCAAAACCATAAACTTTTCTTTTTTAACTGAGGGGAAATTGTATGCCTTTTTTGAAGAAGGATACAGATTCTGCTGCTTGAGAGATGTCAGTTATGAAAATAGGGACTGGGCCTAAATTTGGGAGTCCCTGGCTCTGGACGGTTTACACTGAAGGTTTCCTGAAATGGGACAGAATACTGGGTTTCCAGTGCTCACTGCCCCTAATTAAAATCTGAAATTCTTCTGTTATGCTGCTTCTAAGTGCCTGGTGCATGTCAGGCTCAGCTTCCTGATCTTGTCTCTGCTGAGGACCTCTGAGTGCCCACACTGAGTGACTGGCAGTCTGAATTTGTAGTGATTGGAGTTGGTGACTGTGTTATATGGAATATTTAAAAGACAAGAGCCCATTTCCCACCGCTAGCAGCCCCCATCATGCCCTTCTGGCCATGCTCTAAACAGCCTTAGTTCAAGCTGCTGTAACAAAAAGACCTTAGACTGGGTGGTTGAACAGACATTCCTCACAGTTCTGCGGTCTGATCAAGATCAGGATGCCAGCAGATTTGATGTCTAGTGAGAACCTGCTTCCTGTTCTGTAGACTGCCGTCTTCTTGCTACGTCCTCACGTGGCCGAGAAAGTTCTGGGTTGTTCATCCCCTTATAAGGGCGCCAGTCCCATTATGGGACTCCACCCCCATGACCTCATCCAAATCTAATGACCTACCAAAGGCCCCCCTCCAAATACCATCACATTGGGGATTAGACTTCAGTATCAGAATTTGGGGGACACAGATGTTCATCCATACAGGGCACCTAATTCCTTACCTTTCCTCTTGGCCTCGTCATAGCCCTGTGCTTGTTACATTGAGGATTAAGTTGGGATATCTTGAGTCTTCTCAAGTCCCTGTTATTCAGGCCTCTGCCACTTACAGAGCCAGCCCTTCCCCCCACCCCCACCCCCACTTCCATGGAGCCACCCTAGCAAAGTGCTCTCTGGCCCCAGCTCCACCAGAAAACCAGGGGAGCATGCCGGCTAAATCCTGTCTTGTGGATCAGCCTCCCCGTCCCCAAGATTGATTTATTTAGAGAGAGAGAGCACAAGCAGGGAGAGGGCTGGGGGTGGGGAGAGAGAGAGAAGCAGACTCCCTGCCCAGTGGGGAGCCCAACTCGAGGCTTGAGATCACGACCCAAGCCGAAACCAAGAGTTGGACCCTCAACTGATTGATCCACCCAGGCACCCCTGGACCAGTCTCAGAGGGGGTTTCCTTAGTATAGCCATCTGTCTGTGGCTTTCCAAATAGGATGCATCAGTGGTGCCTGAAGATAAAACTGGGAGTGAATGTGATAGCCAGGATGGAGAGCCACTTAAGTATGAGAGCAACCCAGAGGTGTTGTCAGCTCCCAGCGAGCGCCCTGCTCTTCAGCTTCCCGTGCCTTCTGCCCTGCCTCCCGGGTTGCCTGTCTCACTGTGCGCACGGTTAGTCAAGTGCCCACGCACACCCATGTGCCACTGGCCCATGCTCACAGGCTGCCAAGTGGCTGTCCCCCTGCTCGAGACTTTGCCCTCTGTGGAGCACAGAAAAGCTCCCATCTACTGTGTTCTGTCAGCAGTCGGCAGATAGCAGACAGGCCCCCTTTAAGGAAATAGTTCCATGGAAATGATTAATCTTTTCCAAAAGACTGCACATTCTTTGCTATTTCAGTGAATCAATGTTTTTAAAAGGAAATATATTCATGTAGTTCAAAATTTAAGGTAACCGAAGGCTGTTCAGCCAGATTCCCACCCTGTGCCCACAAACCACGAAGCCCCTACCTCTGATAGCAACAAGTGTTTCCAATTTAAAGGATTAAGAAATAAAGTCCCTGGGTTTTTATTACCAAAACCAAGAGTGTTCTCTTTCTGAAAGAGTTACAGCGTCCTGGGATCGAGCCCCGCATCGGGCTCCCTGCTCGGCAGGAAGCCTGCTTCTCCCTCTCCCCCTCCCCCGGCTTGTGTTCCCTCTCTCGCTGTGTCTCTCTCTGTCAAATAAATAAATAAAATCTTTAAAAAAAAAAAAAAAAGAGTTACGTTCTTTTTGACTTTGGTGATTGGCCTTAGCCTGTTACAGCCATTTCACCCCCTGGACAGAGGAGGGGCCTCTCAGACCACCCCACATAAAGTAGCTCCCCTGCTTCTGCCTCCCTACCCCAGCGCTGCACTTTGTTTTTCCATGGCACTCCAGCATGCTGTATATGTGGATTGTAACTACTGTCTGTCCCCCGCTAGGATGTATGCCCCCCCAGGGGCGGGGTTCATCCCTCATTTGGTGCTGTGTGGACAGTGCCTGGTGCATACTGCTCAGTCAGGTACTGTTGAGTGAGTGAGGGTTGAGGGAAACAGCAATTCCTTCTTACGAGAACATGTAGCTTGTGCTCCCCGGGGCCCTGTGCTTAGTCCTTTGGGAAGGAGAACCAGGGCAGTAGCGTTGGGAGTAGCAGGAGGGGAGGGACCAGGTGAAGGCCTGTGAAGGCTGAGGGAGAGGAGAAAGGCAAAGCTGATGACTGAGGAACCCAAGTGACGGGAGGACCGGCAAGGGTGTTACTTGAGAGAGGAGGAGGTGGTTTGGGAGGAAGAGAGACCCAGAGCTCGGATGTGGACACGTTAGATTGGAGTTGCCTGAGAGTAGCTGGGGCAGACGTCCACCAGCCAGCTGGGAGCCTGGGAGTGGCCAGGAGAGGAAATGGGCTGAAGCTGTGGGGGCGAGCAACGTGGCCGAGAGATGACGGGAGGGTGAGGACACAGCCGGGAGGGTGAGGACACAGCCGTGGGCAGGGGAAGGGAGAGGAGAGAGTGGAGCAACCTCACATCAAGGGAGGGGCCTTCAGTGGGAGAGACCAAGGGGTTGGGGACGAAGAAGACCTGGCCTCTGAGCTCGCAGTTGTCCCCAAGTGAGTCAACACAGCGAGGGAACTTGAAGGGTGGTTCTAGCGAAGTGGCAAGGCGGTCATGTAGGAGTGTGGGTCATAGCCCCACTCTGGGACGCACAGAGCCTGCAGAAGGTCAGCGTCTGCAGCCAGAAAAGCAGGAACCAGGTACTCCTGCCTCAGCGTTGTGAGGGTTAACTGAGAGAACTGCTGTAGACCATGGAGGGCCCCCTAAACTGGCTGCCATCACCCCGGGGGCGTTTAGCAGAGGGAGTGGCAGAAGATGCGGGAAGCCAGGTTTGGTGGTGCTGGGAGGGAAGATGACAGAAGGCGGGAGGCGAGCCAGGGTGGGCCTCCCAAGACAGGCGGCTGGCCTCGCCCC